CACAATACAATACACTATGATACAATACAATGCAATATGATGCAACACAATTCTTGATGATGCAACACAATGCGATACAATACATCCCAATACAATATGATGCAATACAATACAAGATTATGCAAAACAGCACAATAAAATACAATACACTATTGTGCAATAAAATACAACACAATGCAATACAACACAATACAATAGAAGATGAAGCAATACAACCCAAACGATACAATATGATACAACCCAAACGATACAATATGATACAACACAATACGATACAATAAGACCCAATGTTTTTGCAACAAAGAATGTATTTTTGCTCATTTTCACACTTTACGTCCAAAGTGTGTTTTGAATTTAAAATTTAGTGTTTTCCCTTTGATGGTCGTCAATAACATACTAAAACATCTAAGACACAACTGGACTTTAACAGGTTAATTTTAGGGCAATAACTCGCAGCAGTTTGTCCAAATTGTGATTTAAAAACAAATTAAAACAACATTCCGCTTGAGATAATGAGCCTTTAACTCCGTTCAGCCAGGAGAAAAAAAAAAAAAAAGCTATGTACAACAGGTAAGATACTTACTGTTCAGAACTTGACTTCCAAACATCTGAACTACCACTTTATCATTCTTCCAGATTCAGTTACCTTCCTCGGTGGATGTCGGGGTGAAAAACGAGGCTCGGCTCGACGTCTATTTTATTTTCAACAAGTTCAGACAAATCCAGCGTTGATGTTTCTCCACATTCAGGATGGCGAATACGTCGTAACAAATTGTCCTCGTACCGCGGAGATTAAAGCAGAAAGTTGATGAAGCCCACACCTTCACACCCTCATCATCAAACCAAACCACAGAGCCTTAATGTTGTCATATTTTAGATATTTAAACGGATCTAATCTAACAAACCCTTCCACGCCAACTATTACGCAACCCAGAGATTTATTGTTGACTTTTATAACTTGGCTTTGCTGCCACTTTGTTTATTATGACTCTGTTTCTTAGCACCTTTTAGCTGCAGGGTGTGAGCCTTGGCAGCGCCTGTCACAGGGTCTGATTAAACTGTTAAACAATTTCTGACATCACTTAAGGGTTGACTTCTGTTATCAATTTGCGTTTCTTAATTCCTTTTATTAAACGGCACCTATTTGCCTCCGCCCCGGCCATCTGAAGTCTCTGGTGGTGTAAAGTGCGTTATTGATGCAGAAACGTGCCGTTTCCCTCCATTTTGACTTCATTGCACTTGTCCCACGTCCAAGAGTTGCATTTTTTATTTTTTTTGGAGTGCACTGTAAGCACACACACAGAGCACACCTGGGGAAACATTCCTCCAGGGAAGCCATCAATCAGTTTTATGTCCTTTCTCTGGGAAAGTTTCCTCCTCTCCAATCAAGCGTCCCCCCTCCTCCTCCCCCCCCAGCCTTCATTCTCCTTCTTATATTTCCATCTGTATCAGTTTTGCTTCACATCTGAGAACCATCCCGAGCCAATTAGCTTCAACAATTTTTTTTTTTTCAAAGTTTTTTCCTGCTTGTTGCCTGAGTGAGTTTCCTGACTTTCCTGATGAACCTGAGGGCAGAGGACGAGCTCGGAGTAAAATGAAATGACACAACAAGCTTCGAAATGTTGAGTCTTAAAGTTTTTATCGTCCGAATGTTTATGAAGCATCCATTTTTCTTCCGGACGTTTTTCGGCATCTCGTCCTGCTGTTTTCAAGCCATTTCAACAAAACATAAATCAAAACGTTCAGCTCTTTCAGAACAATCCTGCTACAACTTTTGGAATTGGTGCAACTTTAGCTTTGTGAAATATTTAGCCTTTTCTGTCACTTTTATCTCAGAAAATGAATTGAGCTCATTTTCCATCCTTCAAATATTTAGACGTGTTTACAACCTTTTACTGGTCCTTTCACATTTTGTTCTGGTTCAGCTTCTTTAAGCTTCCTTGTGCAAATTTAAACTTTTTTCAGCTACTTTCAGCTCTTCTTTCAGCTGTTTTGTGCTCCATTTCAGCTTTATTCTGCTAACTACATTTTTTGTGCTTCTTCTAACTTATTTCTGCTAAGTTCAGCTTGTTATGCTCCTTTCAGCCTATTGCTGCAAATTTAAGCTTTTTCTGATGTTTCAGCTACTATTTAGCTGTTTTATGCTCATTTTAGTTTTTCAGCTAATTACACTTTTTTTGCACTCATTTAAACCTATTTTCAGCCTAATTCAGCAAAAATGTGCTCTCTCCATTTTCTTCTTGCAATTTAAGTTTCTTTCTGCATTTTTTAAGCTCCTTTTCAGCTTGTTTTTTGCTAATTTCAGCTTTTTTCAGGTAATTTTC